CTTGGCCATGGCCACCTTAACGTTGTGTAACCAGACGTGATGCAGATCTCACTGTGAGACAGAAGTGTGCTCGCAGCAGGTGTACCTTTGAACTCAGTGACCTTAATTTTTCATTTACAGCATGAATATCATATTGTATTCGATAAAACTTGAAAGTCAGGAAAGACTGTTGATCTGTATCCTTTTATGAACAAATCTAGCCTGCTAACATCAAATCAAATTCAAATTTTAATTGTCACATACACAGTCATACACAGTACGATATGCAGTGAAATGCTTAGACAACTGCTCGTGACCTAAAGAAAAAAGAAAAGGCTATGAATAAAATAGGAAATAAATATGAAAATTAAAAAGGGTAAATTTAACTAGGAAGGAATAAAATAAAATATTAAAGTTAATTAAAGTTAAAAATGAAATAACTGTACAACAAAATACACAATACACAGTATAGAAATATATAAGAATGTATGAAGAAATATAAATATAAATATATATATACACAATAAATATAAATGTGTCCCATCTGCCCTGCACTCATGATGTCTGCAAGGTTTCACAACGAGACGTCACAAAGCAGTGGCTGATGTAATCTATTCTGTATGTACATCTATGATGAAAACGTTGAACGCACCAGCTTTCTAAGTACGCCAAGACCAGTCAGTGATCACCAAAGTAATTGGCACGTCCACTTTTATTATTTCTCACCACAGATTCATGCAAGAGTCTCTTTGTCTTCAGCAATCAGAACACAAGATGACATGTTTATATCCTCATATTTGTTATGCGGCGTGAGGACAGTCAGGGAACTCGACACCCTGACCTGGTGTTATAACTGCCCGTTCAAAAGAGGGGAAATAACCAGACGAGATAAGAGAACTTGTAAAACTTGTTGCGCTTCTGGATTATTGACCCGTTCTTCCAGAAGCGACGGAGAAGTGAGCATGTGCAGTTTGTACCTGGAGTCAGTGAAGAGGAGAAACCCTGGGTAACTGACGAAGGGCGTCTGGAAATGTTGCAGTCACATCGTTTTAATTTATCCTTTGACAACTTTTTGCTTCTTTGAGTTGAATTGTTGGGCTCGTTTATTTAATTCTTCTGACACAAGCACCATCTCATCAGTATAAACTGAAAAACTGCTGATTAGGCGAGAAATCCCTCGGTGAACTCTTGCACTGCATGTCATTAACTTCCTGTGTGTGAAATCTGATGAGATCTTTGTAAACTTCATCTGCCTACAGCCTTTTCTCTCGATGGATCTGGGATCAGCTTTGCAGACCTGTTCCGGCTCGTGGCCTTTTACTGTATCAGCAGGTAAATACCCCGCCTAAGGCAGTTTCTTTGTTTGCTTTTCTTTGCTGTTGCTTTGTGATGATTCAAGCATGGATGAGGATAATGTCGAGTAAGCAGTCC